AACCAGTTTTGACCCATGAGACAAGAGGGAAAGTCTGGGAAAATAAGAGAATTATGGGAAGGTACCGTCCTCTCCTTTGTTGGACACTGTCGGGCCTGGATGTGATGTCTGGGACTGCGGCAGCCATTTTGTGACCAGGAAAGGACTTGGTGGAACAGAAAGATGAAACGGACATGGATCCTGGATGATACACCATCGAGCAGCCGAATTAACCAGCTCTGGTCTTCTTATGATTGTTTGAGATAATTTTCTTTTCTTGTTTAAAGGTCAGGGTTTCCTATTACTCTGCCCAACTCACGCAGATTCAAGAACACATTTTTATCCCCACTTTACAGATGAGACCTAATGAAGTACACACACTTACCTAAGGACACCTGGCCTGGACATGGTGGAGCCAGGATTTGTACACTTTGTCTTAGGAGGAGAAACTTTCTGGACGGTGGCAGGATTTTTGAAAACAGAGTGTCTTTGGCCTCTGCACAGCACGCACACAGTCCATTTCTACCCAGCGACAGGCTGTAATGGCTTCTAACACGTGAGGACAGGAGAGGTTGGGTGGAGCTTGAACTCAGCTCCCCAGATCACAGCTCAGAATCTTCTCAGCACCTCAAGGTACTCAGTGACATCAGAGAGTCCCCCTTGCTCTTAGCCACCCACCTTTGGGATGCACCTGCTGGATCCCAAAGATTCCCCTTTGGCCTGAGCAGGGTGGGGCAGCTGATCCTGGAGGCTGGCCACTAGGGGTCGACGTAGTCACACCCAGGGCCGAATCGGAGGAGGCCTGAGGGAAACTTGGAACCAGGGAACACAGTGGGGAAGAGACCTCCCAGTTATGTGTGCCCAACGCTGTAAGACTCAGGATATGCCCACCCCCACCCCATCCCCTTCAACAAGGAGAGAAGGCAGCCTCGATCTGCCTCTGGAGCATCTAGGACCCTAGTTGCTGTGTGCCTTTAGGCAAGTTACCTCCCCTCTCTGAACTTTTTTTTTTCCAATAGAGGGTACTCGTCCCTGCTTCTCAATTGAGGGCTCCCTTTCTCCCCCTGGGGGGGGGGGGTGTCTTTTCCTTCATTTGGGCCTAGTTTGACAGGTGTATAAAGACCATTCAAGATGTGGTGGGCCCAGAACCGAGGCCCAGCTCCAGGTCAGGGTTGGATTCCAGTTTTCGTTCTGCTGCAAACTCACTAGGAGTCTTTGTGTTGCAATTGGGGAAACTGAGACCCAGAGAGGAGAAGGGACTTACTCAAGAGGTAGGACTCGGTATTTCCTGAAGTCTGGTTTGTTCCTTGGAAAGTTAATAGAAACAAAAACGTAATCAAAAAGTTAGGGAAAGCTGGTTGAATTGGAAGGATATGTTGCCTGCAGGACTTTTCAGAGCCTTTACTAAGGTAATTTGTGTCACTCCAAGAGTGAGGGAGGTAAGATCTGAATCTGTTTCTCAAACTCATTTGACTTGGAAACCCATTATCCGAGGTAAAAATCAGCTGGGCCACAGGATGACAGAAATAATACACCCGACTTTTGGGGCCTCTTACAGAGCAGGCTCTGTGCTGTGTGTGTGTGTGGGGGGGTTGATCTCTCACTGCTACGCTCAACCTCATTTCACAGTTGAGAGGCAGGCAGCTCAAAGAGGGCGATCACTTGCCAAAGGCCACAGACTGGTGACCAGCAGTATCAGGACTGGAACCACTAGGCCCCACTGTCCCCCAGGGAGGTGGCCACTCACAGGACTAATTTGCCCTGTCATCCTGGTCACATATCACCTGGTGCCATTCCCCTTCCAGGTGTCACCACCCCCTTTGGGCAAATCAAGAATTGAGGCTCAGTGAGGCCACGCAGATGGTCCCAGGTCACACATAGAGTCTGGGATACTGAGGCTAGGTTTTTTTTGTTTTTCGTTTGTTTCCTCCTCTCCTCCTGCCACTCTCCAGCGAGCTGGTGGTGATGGTGATTTAAACAGAAAACCTTTCGTGCGCCGGGTTCGTCCACTGCACTGGTCCGGTCCTACCTACCAGCAGCCCCGACAGGGGGGGAGGGACCGCCTGGGCCCCTTAAGAACGTCCCGACGCGCAGGCGCAGTGGAACCTAGGTGCCCAAGCAAACCGCGTGAGGCGTGGGCGTGGGCGTGGGCGTGGGCGTGGAATCCTGGCTGCGGCTGGAAGCCAGCAGTGGAGTTTGAAGTCACTGAAGGCAAGTCAGGGGTGGAAGTGGTCTCAGCTCTCCCTTCCCAGAAACTGGGGCGTGCTCTACAGGCTGGGACATGAGTCAAGAAAACACGGAGCCACCCTGGATGGTGAGTGTCCCCGTGTCGGTCCCTCCGGTATATTCGCCGAAGCCCTCATGCCCCTCTGGGGCAGCTCCGATGTCTCTGAAAGATGTGGCGGTCTTCTTCTGGTTGTTGTGACGGTAAGCGGTGATAATAGTCAAGGTCATGTGCCAGCCACAGTGGCTACCCTATGGGACAGATCTGAGGGGTGAGCCCAGGACAGCTAAATGGAAAGGGGAGGGTCTAGTGCCCCAGGAGAGACTTAGGGGAGCGACTGCAGCTGGGGTGGGGGTCTGGGCCGGATGGCAGGTTCTCCCCTATGCTCCTTCATCAAGCACGAAGTCCCCACAGCCAGGGGTGTGGGGCCCAATGGGCCATGCTTGGGGGTGGTTTTATGATCTGGTCACAGCACGGCCAGTAAGAGCTCAGAATCTGAGCCAGGAGGCCCGTGCTCGTTCCCAGCTGCTGTGCCGCGCTCCAGCCTCAGCTGTGTGGCGTTGAGCCAGTGACTGCCCTTCTCTGGGCCGCTCGAGCCTCAGCTTCATCGCGTGCACCTGCGAAGGTGTGAGAGCTAAACGCAGCTGGCCCTCAAGGAAGGGCGTTTTGTGCAACGACGTTTTGTTTTAACGCTGATGAGATGCTGTAGGAACTTAACTCGTGTGTCGATTAGCCTGTGGTAAAATTGGTTTCGTCATATGTCGTTTTGCATAAAGCCACAGACTCTATGGACGTTAAGTGAGGACTTACTGTACTGTTTAGCGCCGCACCTGTGACCAATCTGCCTGCAGTAACTGTGGGCCGTCGGTAATTGTAGCAGTGATAGTAACATTCGCATTGTCACCTGCGATGCTCCTCCAGGTTGTCATCAAAGGTGATTGACTGCATAAAGGCAGGAGTGGCGTGGTGCTGGGGGGCCATTTGGGATCAGCTCGCTCGGCACCCAGGGAGAAGGAACCCCGACAAGGACCCAGGGAGCCTGTGCCAGGACAGGGCTAGAACCCCTGCTGGGCCGGGGCCCGGGCAGGACTGGCTGTGCCATGTGCCCCCACCTGCCCTGCTTGCCGCCCCCCCGCCCTGGCAGAGGGGGAGGTCTCCCAGATAGGTTTCCTCAGCCCTCACTTGCAAATGTGAGGGACCTGGCCTGGTCTCCCCTCCTTCCCTCTCCAGATGCCCCAGTGTGGGTGGGCCTGGCGGTGGGGCCAGGACACGGGGACTTGGGCTACCCTGACATTGTTGGTGTTGAGGTGGCCCCAGTGGTGGTCCCTGGGACCAGCTGAGCCACAGGCCAACGCTCAGCCCTAAACCTGGCTGTAGACCCTGTGCCCTGCCCCCTCCCAGGTACCCACGTGGTGCTTTGCCTGAATTCCAGGTCTGGTCTGTTTGGGGATGGAATGGTTCAGGGACACCAGTAGCAGCGAAGGATTCGAACCCACACCTCACTCACTCTAGAAGCTGGCTGTCTGCCCCCAGGGGGCCTTCAGCTGTGTCTGAAGGTGGAGACAGCCTAATGCAGGGCGTGGGGTTGATGCCAGAGCCCGCTCCCTCTTCCCATCCCTGTGGCTGTGTTCGCCTTCTCCGCCCCCTTCCTCGTCTGTAAAATGGGGAGGACTTTATTACATACTGGGAGGGGAGTTGCGAGACTAAATTACGTGAGGTCAGAAAAGCACTTGTCAGCTGCTGTTCCCATACCACTGGTCACTCCCAGCCGCCTGCCTTCCACCGGCACTGCCTTTCCTAGCTTGTCACTCTGCAGGGCCGTTGCCCCGGGCACCAGGTGACATGCTTGGTTCCCTGACCCGGCTCAGAAGGGACTGGGTCCCTCGGACATGGCCCCTTCTGCTCGGAGCCTCCGTTTCCTCCTCCATGTGCTTCCAGGCTGGGGGCCGGACTCAGGAGGTGGCTGCCCTCCCTGCGGGGTTGCATCCAGGGCACCGCCTCTCCCCACTCTGCCAGGACCTCAGCACGCGGGCATCCAGGCAGAGCTGCACGTGTGGGAGAGGAGGCCCGCACCTGGGGAGACACCCAGGCCCCTCTGCCCAGATGTCGGCTGGCCGGCTGCTGGAGATGGGAGGACGAGTCCGCGCTGTGGGGTTCAAACCCCAACTTTCGCTCAATTTCTGAGCCTCGGTTTCTTCCTCTAGAATTCATTACCTTGCCAGGGGTGGTAAGGCCCTAACAAAATACAGTGTATGAAAACACCCAGCTCTTTGGGGTGAGTGTGGTTGCCTGCAAATTCCTGGGCACCGGGGCCTGGGGCGGGTGTATGCAGGGCTGGCCAGGGACATGGCCACAGCCCAGCTACATGGGCCTGCCCCAGCCACACCTGCCTCCATGGGAGCCTAGAACACGCGAGGCACAGAAGGGCTGGGAAGGAACTTAGAGATGCAGGGGGATGTCCCCCCAGGCCGCCTCCACACCATTCAGGGAAGGAGCCGGGGGCTCTGGGCTGGTTCTGTCTCAGCTGCTCTACGGACAGATCTCTGGCCTGACCAAGTGGCTGACGCGCGAACAAGGCAAACGGCGTGTCCACCTCGAAAGAGCTGGGAGAGCGAATGGAACGCTGCATGCCCAGCGGCCCAGCACTGCGGGTGCCAGGAGGTGCCGCCCGCTTCCCCAGGGCTCCGCCTGGTCTGTGAGGAGACAGCGCGTCCCACTCCGAAGGGGAGGAAGAAAGCACAAGACAAGCTACAAACCAGTCCCACAGCCGAGACACCATCTGTGTTTCCTTTTTTTCTTTCTCTTAGTTTTTAAAACAATATAGTGCAGACTGCACTTCTCACAGTAGAATATAATGGTCAATTTTAGTATAAAAAAAAAAACATTCTCAGAGATTTGTAAATGCACTTAGTGCTTGAACAGGCCTTGGAGAGAGATACAGTACCGCTTCCGGCGCCAGAGGGCCAGCACGGGGGTTCGGGCCTGGGGGCTTCGCGGGGCCCTCGGTGGTGCGGGGCAGGCCCTGGAGGGCAGTTGGCAGGAGAGGGGTTGCACTGGGCCTCCCAGTTAAAACCAGGTTACCCTCTCGCTGGTTCCAAAGAAAGAGCCCCCGAAGAAGGCGAGGTAGGGTTCCTCGGTGGGGTCTGAGACAACAGGCCCGCGGTTCACCCCAAGGGTACCTTTGTGCGAACAGGGAAATGGCACCCCTTCCTCGAGATTCGGAAAGTTGCCGCAATAAATATACAAGTCTAGGATGCGAGTGGGGTCTGCTTGGACGAGGTGCCCGTGTGCAGGGCACAGCCTGGAGCTGTGCCCAGCAGCCCTGTAAGCTGTGTGACGGGAAGGGGGAGGTGGCAGTCCAGGGGGAACGGGAATGGGGTGTGATTTTTCTGTGTTGGGGAGGAATGGGGGGGAGTCTAGAGGAGGGGCAGCAGCCCCCCACGCGGGGTCCCTGGAGCTTCTGTCAGAGTGGTGTTCACCGGATTGGCCAGTGGGGGACACGAGGGAACAGAGAATTCCTCTGCTCCTTCTCCAGGCGACTGGGGAGCCTGTGGGGGGAGAAGCTCTCTGACCCCACCCTGATTCTAAACCATCTCATTTCTTCCTGCCTCCCACCCTGGCCTGAGCTCCTCTCCCGGGAGAGCAGAGAGACCCACTCCTGTTTCTAAGTGGTCTCTCTCCCTCCCTCTGCCAGTGTGGACGGAGGAAGGCCTGGAGGTCAGCAGTAGCTCGGGGCCTCCCTGTGTGACACAGGAAGGGGCCTTGGTGAGCAGGGTCACCTGCAAACCTCGACAGACATGGCAGCAGCCAGCTTCCCTGTGGGCACCAGTGGGCCCCTGCGCGCTGACCCCCGTCCTTCGGCCTGCCTCCCCTCGGCGCCCTGTCCCTCTGTCCGTGCATCCACAAAGCAGGCCTTATCTGTAGACGGGAAGGCGGATGTGGGCGTGCTGGTGGTCAAGCAGCCGGGGCACTGCCACCGTCTCGTAGCCCTTGCCCAGCATCTGCTCCTTGATGCAGGGCGGCCGGATGTCATTGATGAGATATTCCAGCGACTGCAGGCTACTGCTCAGCACCGCCGTGTTGCACATGCTCTTGCTGGGCAGGCCCGAGAGGGCCTCCACCGGGTGCCCCGTCAGCTCCCGGGCCACCCCGGGCCCCAGCTCGGTGGCCGCCACCGCCGCCGGGTTGTAGCAGTCACTGGTGGGGGTCACCAGCACACTGTTCCAGGGGGCAGCAAAGTACTGACCCACAGTGAAGCTGGCGGGCAGCCCCACGCTGCAGTTGAGGGGTGACCCACTGGCCCGCTCGTACGCCCGCCCCCCACAGGCCTCCGGAGACTTGCTGGCCACCGTGCCACCGCTATAGGCCCGCAGCGGCTGGGGCGGCGGCGGGGGTGGTTTCTGGGGCCACAGCAGGTAATCCAGGCTGCCGTCCACGTAGCCGGCAGGCTTGGCGGCTCCAGCCAACGTCAAGGCCGCTGTGCTCCCCTGGCCCAGCTCGGCGCCTTTGCGGCAGTCGGGCAGGCCGGCGGCGGCTGAGTAGGCCATGCTGGGGAAGCTGGGCACGGGCCCGTGCTTGGCTGGGCTGGGGCGGGGCACCGCCACACCCTGGCAGGCAGTGGGCGCAGCGCCTGGGGCCTGGCACTGCTGGTTGAGCTGGTAGAGGATGCTGTGGATGGAGGGCAGGTTGGAAGGTGGCAGGGCCAGGCCGCGGCCCGGCAGGGGGATGACGGAGGCCGCAGTGGCAGCAGCCGTGGGCAGGCCCGGTGGTGGGGCGGGCGCCTCAGGCGGCTTGGGGTAGGCCAAGGGCCCCAGAGCGCTGGGCGCCGGGTAGGGCGCGATGCCCACCTGCACGGTGGCCGGCGACAGCTTGGTCCGCTTGCCCTCGGCGCTCTTGAGCACCCCTTTGGCGGGCCCCGGGGGCGCGGCCACGCTGGAGGAGGAGACGGCGGCCCTGACGACGGCCAGCAGGCCCTGGTAGCCCGCAGCGTGCTGAGGGTAGGGGCTGTAGCGCTGGCCGCACGTGTCGTAGCCGTTGACGGTGCGGCTGAGGTGCTTGTGCTGGGGCACCCGGATGGTGGTGGGGAAGATCTTGATGGAAAGCGGGCTGTTGGCCACCTTCTCAGCGTAGGCGTCCAGCTCGGCCGGGCTCGGGTAGCGGGAGGAATTCATGGAGCTGGCCACCGTCTCGCCTGCGGGGACAGCGAGGAGAGGAAAGCACAGGTGAGCACTGACCAGGTGCCACCCCCACGCCGCTCCCCAGGACTCCCAGAGCCCCCGGGCTCCCCGCCCCTCGCTCTGTCCTCCATCACTTCTCAGCTGTCAAAGGTGGGATCGAAGAGTAAATAAAGGAACTAGCACACATCTGAACCTTCACAAATGGGACGCACTCATGTAACAATACGTGGGTCAAGGGACGGGTCACGGCCAGTGTCCCGAGACCCCCTGCACGCCCGCCCAGGCCAGCGGCTCTCCTGTCTGGTCACTGCACGGCTGCTGGTGCCCGGTGCGTGTCCGTGGTGAGACGGAACGTCCATGCACACGCACTGGTGTCAGCCTGTCACTTAGGGCTGTTTGGAGGCCTGACCGGTGGCTGTGTGTGCTGTCCACGTGTGACTACGTCACAGTCACTCAGCCTCCTGGTGACGGCGTTTGCGTCACTTCCAGTTTGGGGCTGATACAAATGTCCTCTGGTCCCAGTGCATGAATTCAACTCTGTTGGGTACATGCTGTGAGCAGAACCTCTGGGACACTGGGAGGTGAATGCTGAGCTTTAGGAGAAAATGCCAGAGATGGTGCCAGGTCACCTGCCCGCCAGCACAGCATGGGGGCCTGGGGCTCCACCCTCTACAGCGCTGGCTGTCGCCCCTCATTGGAACAGTGCCCTGGAGGGTGTCCGCCTGTCTACCCCTTTACCGCTCGGTGCCTCCCTTTCCTCGCCGGCTGGGTGGTTCGGCCTCGCTCTGTGGACAGAGCCCAGCAGGGGCCTGGCGGGGAGGTGGAGGCCAGGGCTGTACTGGGGGCTGTCTCCTGGCACTCCCGGGTTCCGCGCCCGCTGCCCAGCCCTCTGGAGTCTGCCTGTCACCGGCGGAGCCACTGCCTCATCCGTGAGCTGTGCTGTGTGTCCGTGGGCACAACCGGCTCCTGCCACGGGGAGGCGGGTCGCCGGTGGGCTGACCCCTTCTCCCCGCCACAGCCCTCCCTGGCCCTGAGATGCTCTTCAGTGCTGCCCGGGACCCCCTCTGGGGCGGAGGAAAGGCCCCGCCTGGGCTTCGGGCCGGCTGGCCTGGTTGTGTGGCTGCTTGTCCAGCTGAGCCTGTGTCCCCACCAGTGGAAGGAGGGTAATGATCATGCCAGGTCTGCAGGGTGACCTCGATTGTTCCAAGGGGCCCAGCAGCAGGTGAGGCACACAGTGGGTGTCCCCAGACCCACGGTGCGTCCAGGGGACCTCAGGAGGGGCTTCACCACTGACCCTGTTTCCACATCTGTACAATGGGGATGCTGCTACCTCCCAGGGTGGCTGTGAGGTTTATCAAGTTGTTCCCCGTGGAGTGTGTGAGCAGCGGCGGGTCCTCGCCAAGTACGTGTTCATACCTTCCCCGGTGCCCGGGCGAGGGCCTTCTGGGAGAGGGAGGGCGGGGGCCTGTGCACAGGTGGGCCTGGCATGTGGCTGGGCAGAGTGCAGACACCACGTCCCACCCTCCCGGAGCCTCACCCATGACCCCCTCATGGGCTCGCAGCCAGTCTGGGCGAAATGCACACCTTGATGGGAAGGGCAGGCCGTGTGGGACCCTGCGGATCCAACCCAGCCGGGCTTCGGAGCTGCCTTTTGGGAAGAAAGAGCACCCCAGTTAAGGCGATGGTGGAAGGGGTGAGGATGGAGGAGAGAAACGTATTTCGGGCAGAAGGAACGGCACGGGATGGTCTACAGGCGAGGACGCGTGTCCGGGTGGGAACTGTGATAATTCACAGAGCAGAGGGGGTCCTCTTCACGGCAGGACAGTGGTTCTCGGGGGGCACACTGGTGATGTCCAGAGATGCATCTGGCTGCCACAACTTGAGGAGGAGGTGCTACTGGCATGTAGTGGGCAGGGGCCAGAGAGGCTGCTAAACGTCCTACAGTGCACAGCACAGCTCCGGACACAGAACTGTCGGGGTCCAGGGTCAGCAGTGCCGGGGACCAGGCCCAGCCCCCAGGGCATCAGGGCCAGGAAGGGAGTCAAGGGAGGGTGGGGCGGGCATGGGTGTTAGAAAGGTCATTCTGCTCTGCCCGGGGTGCAGGGATGTGGTCTGACCTGGGCAGGGCAGCAGCGAGGAGCGAGGTAGGCAGCTGGAGCGGTGCCTGTCCCCACCCTGCGCTGGGCAGGTGGAGCCGGCCAGGGGCCCCCATCCTGACCCTGCCTGGGGCAGCCCCCACCTAAGTGGCCTAAAATAAACTCAGTGTGGAGAATGGAAATGTCACTTTGGCCAACGGGGGAATCTTTCTCTGAGATTGGATTTAAACTACATTATACAAGCAATTTCATGGGCACTTAGCACCGCTCGGAGAGTCCCGCAAAAAAGGGACCAGCTCTTCATTTACCAGCCATAAATCAGCAGTTGCTATAATGAGCACAAAAATGTCACTTTTATGCAATTTTACAGATGAACAAAACTGGTGAAATTAACTGTGGTAACCTACTATAGTCAGCAAAAGCAGCTGCCGGGGGAAAAAAAATTATATCTGTATGTATTTTTGTGCCTTTTAAACTCTCTTCCCAAGCAAGTTTCTGCCATTGTGGTGTGAAAACTCATTTGTCCTCACCATTATACTTTCATTTGGAGTTTATCTTGAGTATCCAATGAGCCACCAACTGTGAAAATGATTAAATCTACAAAATCTATCTAATGGATGGAATAAATTAGGTGTTTAAAACCTTAAGGAGAAGGGGTAAGAAAGCAACGCCTGTTACTAGTTCCCACTCGCTGAAGGAAGGGGCCCATCCGCCCGACAGGTGAGCAGGGCTTTGGTTGGAGCCAGTGGGGTGGCATAACACAGAGGCTGCCCTTGGGTGAGGGCCACGCACGGGTGGGCTCTCCTTTTGGAGCACCTGACAGCTGGCGGGGGGGGGGGGGGGAGGTGGTCCCATTTTACAGGCGAGGAAGCAGACAGTTACGACGTTTGGAGGTGGCCTCTGGGACCTTCCACGCATCCCCTTGTCCTTCGTGGTCCCCTCCCACTCCAGATGGGGCCGACCTGTACAACCTATGAGATACTGTGCAAGGGAAGGGGTGTGACCTCCAGGGCGAGGCCGCCCAAGGCCCTGCCGTTTCCGCCTCGCTCCCTGTCTCTCGGATCACTTGCTCAGGGAGAAGCAGCTGCCAGGTGAGGACTGGAGCAGCCCGTGGGGAAGCCCACCTGGGGATGAACTGGGGCCTCCTGCAGAAGCATGCGCGCCTTCTCGGAAGCAGGTCCCCCAGCCCTGGTCAAGCTTCGGATGGCTGCGCGCCCGGCCCGCATCTGCCTTGCAGCCTCGGGAGACCCGGAGCAAACTGCCGAGCTAAGCACCCTGAGTTCTTGATGCACAGACACCATGAGCGCTACATCGCGGTTACATGCTTTAAGCCACTATTTTTGGAGCATCCTGTTACACGGCGATGGGTACGGGCCCCCATTTTACAGACGAGGACATGGAAGCTCAGAGTTTCCCAGGACCCACAGCAGGCATGGGGCAGAGCTGGGATCTGGACCCGGTCTGCTATCCAAGTCGTCTCCTCCCATCTCCCACCTCCAAGGCCGGTGCCAGGAGACATGAAACTCTCCCTCTTCCACAGAAAGAGGAGCAGGAGGATCTTGAGGGGAACCATAAAGCTAGACTTGAGGCTCAGGGAGGCAGGAGGTGGCCATCAGAAGCCACACGGGCAGGCAGCTGGCGGCCCTGAGCGGGTCTCTCCTGCACACCTGTTTGGTTGGGCCTGCTCAGTGCTCTTTGGTGACTTGACTGTGAGAGACTTCTGTGGACCGCAGGTCACTGGAGTCACCTGTCTCAAACCCAGCCGGGCCGCGGTGGCCCCTCCTCACACCTTGTTCCTGAAGCGCCCCGGGCACCTCAAACAGCCTTTTCCCAGCAGAGTTTCGTGGCCATGGCTTAGGTCCTTGGCCACTCCGGCCAGCCTGGGTCCCGGACCCCAGCTAGGCTGAGGCCCCACACCTTTCCCTGGCGGTGGGCCAGCCCCCGTGGTCAGGGCCACTGTGCAGCCTTGTTTTGGCAAATGCAGTGACCGAAAAAGGCCTACATGGAGGAGCCAGCTGAGCCAGCTCTGCGGTGGGCTTCTAAGCAGAGGGTGGGGGGCAGTGCTCACAGGGAGACTGGGGGGCAGGGGAGGGGGCCCAGCTTAGCTGCTGCTCCCTCCATGCCTTCCCCAGCGGGGGCTGGGCGAAGGGACACTACCAGGGGCTCCATCAGCGCCGGGCTTCACCATGTGCCCCGATCCTGACTGCCGTGGGCTTGTCCTCCTCCTCCACCAGACGTGGGCTCCCTGTTGGCTGCCGTGCCCCACTGACATGTAGTGGGTGCTCAGGAATGTTGTGCTGAATGGCCGATGAGGCTGTGGCCAGTCAAACCCATGCAGCCTGGGAGCCCCGTTCACGGCCAGTCATGACACGAGGAAGCATCAGTCCTGGGAGGAGCAAAGCTGGAGAGGCAGCCCCCTGGGAGCTGCCTTCCGGAAGCCTCCCTCCAGCCCCGCATCCACCAGATGTTTCCTGAGCCCCTCCTGGGTGCAGCACTGTCCAGGGCCTTGGCGAGGCAGCAGCAATCAAAGCAAATAAAAATCCCCGGCCTCATGGGGCTGGCCCTCTGGCAGAAGGAGGTATACCCCGCACCTCCAGGCTCCCAGCTGCCTCTCCAAGGAGACCTCTGTGTGAACTCGGAGCTGCTCAGACCTCCCCCTGCAGCCTGCCCTCCCTCCCCACAGGCCCTGGACGGCGTCCCTGTGCCCACACTCAGGGCCCTGCCCGCCTGCGGTCCCTGTGGCATCCTTGGGAGGCGGGCCATTCAAGGAACGGGGCAGAAATGAAGGTGCCCACCCTGTGAACTGGGCCACCCCTGCCTGGCCTCTGCCCGCGGGCAAAGACCAGACCTTGCCGGGGATGGAAAAGGCCAGCTGGAGGTGCGAACGTCTTCACTGCGTTAACTCAGGAGCCTCTCAC